CTCTACCGTTTCCTCTGGCACTCCGTTCTGCGCAGTTTGCTCTAATGGCACAGCAGGCTCTTCACTCTGGGGTAACTTCCCAGGTTCATCGCTACACGGTGGTTTCTCTGTCTCTTTGGGCTGAGATGACTGATTGCGCTCCTCCGTTTTCTCTATTCCCTCACTCGGAGGCGAATCTTGCGGCAAAGGGGTGGAACCTTGTGGTGAGGAGCTACACGGTGGTTTTTCTGTTTCTTCGAGCTGAGATGACTTCCCATGATCCTCAACGGGAGCTGTTTTTACGGGTTCCTCACTTCGAGGCGGCTTTTGCGGTGGAATAGAATTCTCTGGGGTGGAGAAAATGACGTTCGATTCCGTAGCAGCAACCGAAGCTGAAGATTTCTTGGCCCTTTGTGCTGCCAATTTCCGTTCCAACTCACTGCCGTCATCTTCCGGACTCAATCGTCGAGTGCTAGGCTTTGAAACATGATGTTGGACAGGAACCAACGGACATTTACTGGTTGGCGGTGGAGACAGGGGTTGTTTGTCCTTCACCAGCAGCTCGCCGATCGTCGTTTTCGGTGGTGGCGTCTGTTTTGCAGACGTATCGGGTGAGCTAACACGTGGTGGACTGACCGATCGTTCTTGATCTTTTGCCAATAGCTCGGCAAGTGTCCGTTTCGGTGGCGGTCCTGTGTGAATATCAGGCTGCGTATCGTGGCCGTTGACCGTTGCCGTCACCACATGTGCATCGTCCATTGTAATGCCGTTCGGACTTGCTACCTAAACCGCAACCACTGAGAATCAGCAAATCGATGACCACCATCAGTATTCAGTTGAATATATGATTTTACAAAATTCATAAATAGCTTACAATCAATCAATATTTTCATTACTTCTTTGGCTTCAAGGTAATTCAATTATGATTACAAACAGAAAATTGTGCGATAGAAGTTTGCAAGAAAGCAAGGGACCATCTTGAGGGCCTCAAATCAAAGGGTCCTTTCGAAAGAACAGTTCTACCTGTAAAAATTTTTTCGATGAAGTGCATGTCGGGCTGGTGTTACAACAACCACCAGCTTGAACGGTGCTGCCCATTGAGCCGAGGGTTGTAACCTTTTCGTTCCAGTTAATCCCTTTCCAATTGCATCGCAACAACGCAAGCCTTGATGGCACGGAAGATGGCTAGCAGGAAAATGAGACAAAAAAGTGGCATTAAAATTTCCGGCTGTCCATTTTTAAGCTCTCAGTCTTATTAGTTCGGAATCGATATGATTTATTTCCGCAATAGCTATTGTATGGAAAGTGGTAGGCAAAAATCTCTTCTGGTACTCTTTTCAGAGCAACCGAGCCCTCTCTATCTTTATTGTCCACTAAGTTTAGGAAAATTATTGTTTAACCAGCTTAAAAGGTTACATTTTTGAACCAGACCGTCAATCAGCAAAGAAAGTGTGAAAAAAAGTGAGTTGAATGCTGAGAGGATCCTGCCCGGAGGCAGGGTGCATGGCGCGACTAGGGAGTGGTATTTAGTGATGGTGGTTTTTCATTCCATGCCTAATCTATGTTCCATTAGCAGGGGGTTCTGGAACATTCCTTTTTCCATCGCTGTTTCTTCGAGCATCCTACATTTGCACTATCGAATAATGGATCTCGATGGGAAAAAGCAGGTTTTTCGTGCAAGTGCTGTCCCTATCGAGTGTGCGGCTTTCTTTTACAAATGTTTTCTGTTGGAAACGTTTTTTTCTGCCGTCGGCCTGAAGAACACGACGGGAACAACTGGCATAGTGAAATCGATCTTCGTCGGAAATCTCCCTTGTGTACACAAAAAATCCCTGAACCGCTCTATCATCCAAATGACCACTAATCCGCATAAAAAATGAAAAAGATGATTGGTCCAATGGAAGAAGGGACAAAGTCTTCTGACATAATCTCCCGTTTGAGGGATGCGCCCCCACATTCGAATTCCGAACAGAATTATAGAGGCGATTTGGATGCGTATGTATGTGCACTGTCCCGCACGCATGGTCCACGATTCGATCCCCGGACCATGCGTGCGAGACAGTGCGCCACTTGCCACTGTACCAGTTCCGCCCGATTTATTTGAAAATCAGGTAAACCAATACGAAAATAAACCAGAAGGTTTACTGAGGGGCAAAGTGAGTAACAGCTCTTGACTATGACCATGGATACGGTATTCTCTGCTTTCATAGAATACCGTACCTGAGATCAGAGAATACCGTATCTCAAGGTCTGTTTTGCATGGGTTAAACATGGAATTTAATATTAATAACTCTCTGCGTAACGAAGAATAACTAAAACAACACTCGAATTCCTTTTCAAAACTGAAGCGACCGTTTCTGGATGCATGTTGAAGTCATGGCGCATTCCAGTGAATTTGTTCGCTGCGAAAGACGAACCGATTCTCTTATTTTTTGAAAAAAAAATTTTCATAATTTTATCCTTGAGAACCGCTCAAAACTGCAAAGGCTTGTAAAGAGCTCCTTGAGGCGACGATGTTTTAGGGGTGGAAAGAAAAATGCCAAGGTGCTCTGGAAAGCCTGGCTTTTTCTAAGCTATTCTTTGGTTTGGGGGTCAAAAATTGCTGTTGATTTTCCTATTGCATGTGTTCGCTATTGTTCGTGTCCGGTTTTTATCCGGAAACCAGCTCCGGAGATCGATGTAAAGTCACCTATCGACGGGGCGCCCGGGAGCTGCGGCTGCAGCGGGACAGCCACAGCTGAGCTTTTCTGAGAAAGCAAAATCTCAAAATATTTGCAGTAGACCCCCACGAGTCGTGTTGAAAGGCTATCCGGGAAATCTCACAGGAAGATCGCAAAGAGCTCTTGATAGAGGATTTATAGTTGAAAGCAGAGAATTCATAAAAAAAGTACTTACATTGTTATTTTCCTCTGGATGTTCTTTTCTTTCCATAGCTTTAGCGATGAGATCATCTATCGAGACAGTGTTATCCACAGCCACGTAAGGATTAGGAACAACCTGAATCGAAANGCAAAGTAAATCAATAATAAGTAATATAAATAAAAAGTCATAAATTAAACCAATCTATGAGATGAAGCATAATAGAAGATTACAATATAATAATAGCATTTGGCCAATATCTGAAAAAATTCGCATTAAAATCAAAAAGTCCGTGAATGGGAAATCACCATCAATACATATGTACGAGTACATGAATACTGCCTTTTTTCTTAATTCTTTCATTTGGACTTTATTTTACGACAAATTTTTGTTTTAGAAGTCGGTGGTATAGTGGCAAGTGGGGAACTAACACACACGCACGTTCGCAAGTTCGAATCTCGTATCAATATCCGCCCAGGCTAACCAAGCCTTCCATCCCACCGAGGTCTTCTAATTGGTATCAGACTCGTCTGGGAGCATAAAACACTGATTTGTTCATCAACTGGCCACCGCAAGTCATCGTATAGATCACGTCAGCATTCAAACCGCTACCGCTACGATTCTGAATCGAAGTTGCTCCCTGTGAATTGGATTGATCAACGCCGATGGCTTAACCCTTGGAATATAACTTTTACCCTTCTGTTCCGAGGAAAACAAATGATAGGTAAACAAATAAACATAACATTTTGAGACTGAGTTGCTGACATACCTTTTCTGGCATCTTCGGTACCGGAGGAGGAGGAGTTTCCGCTTTGGAACTATCTGTTACCGTATCATCGACGCTCTCAAGACGTTTCGCCAGTTTCGAGGCCAGCTCTGGATCGGCCATTTAGAGCTCTAAAAAATGGTGACTGTTCAGGTGCT